TTTTTTTAAGTGCAGCCTTGAAAAACAGTAAAAAATACACAAAAACAGTAATTTGAGTGTATATTTATAATTCAGCACTTTCAGTTTTTTTTTCACAGTTCATTGTTTTACTTAAATATGTTTTTATTTATTTATTTTTTAAATCAAAGTAGAACTGAAAGATTGTTATTATATTGGGCTGCCAAAAATCACAATATATTGCTAAATCGATTTTTTTTCTTCCTCCACAGCCCTAGGCATCAGAATACGTATTATGCAAATCAAAAAGAACTGAATTTGAAACAAATTGTTGCCAAGTTACTCACAACATCTGCAACAGGATCCTGAGGATTCTTAGGTGCAGCGAGAGAAAGACACTCAGATCTTTAGACCTACATAAAAAACCTTAGATGTCTGTAAATCTGTTAGCTCTAGAGTTAGTAGTTAGTCTAAAGGGCTGGTTATTCTCCCGCAGCAGAGTGTCGCAGTGAGCTAGATACAGATATTTTTAATTTATGCCCAATATTGAAGCATGGTCTGTGCTGTGTTACTCCATGCCAGAGCACAAGAGGGACAATCAGGAACTAGCTGTGGGTCTAGATACGGCCGAGGCGGTGAGTAAGTGGGGGCAAGTTTGTGTGACAACAGAGGGACATGAGGGTGAAAAAGAGCGGGGATCCAGATGGAAAAAGGGTCCTAGCGTTCTAGCTCACCTCGCTCTTCTAGCTGGTCCAACTTCATGAGTTGTTTTCCACAATGGCGGTCATACAAACAAAACAAGCCGGTAAGGTACCAAACATTTGCATTCACTGCGACACACATGCAGGCTACCTGGTTTCTGAGTATAAATCAGCCTTAACTCTAGTTAGTTTATAGTTAGTAGTTAGACCCACACAGAAAACTTTAGATGTCTCTGAAGTTGGATTGACTAAAAACTACAGTCATGTGTATTTTCTTTATGGTTCAATCAAAGTTCATTTGAACACGTTGGCTTGTTTAAAAAACGAATTGACAAATTCTGAGCCAAGAATTTTTCCAGTTGGTTTATGTATAAAAAGATTTCTTGTGCTAAATTACTTGGAAGTTTGTAATTGTTGATTATTTTGTGTCTTTTTTTAAATCGTTCCTCTTCTCACTCTATATTACAATGGCACAATTGTATTTGTGCAATCAGGGAGTGGCAGTCTAATGGTTTTGGGAAGGCTTCGAGTTTCCTGGTTCTGGTCCCAAAGATTGCTTCTCTGGATCCCTGAGCAAGAGCCTTGGCTCTACAATGCTTACTTGCTAAATTTAGATAATTTTATCTTTATTGATTCTCAAGAAAGTAACCTTTATAAAAACTGAGGCCTCTACATCCAAACAGTAATTGCAACATTTGAAATAAGGTGGACAAGTAGGCCATTGTATTATATCAGTCTAAACAAAAATACAACCTCACTTCCCTGATAAAGATTATAAATCAAAAGACTAAAGAGTGTGAAAGATGAAACAATGAAAAACATAGTATAAAATAATTATAACAGGGGTTTCACAGGTCATTAAAAATCATTAAATGTGATTGTAGTTGCATTTAAAATGCTTTATAAATGAGTCATTTGTAATATAATATATATAAGCTAGCCTTATACACCAGACTAAATGGGAGATTAAATGTGTAATTTAATTTGGCCCCGATGAGACATCAGAAGATTGTTGATGAGAACAACCCGTTGTTTTTTAAACCGCCAGTTCTAGGGCCTGGGGCATTGATCGAGGCTAGAACAAACTCGTAGGCAAAAATGATTTTGGCTGCTGGCAGGTGGGGCTAGTTTACTAGGGTTTTAAAAAGCATTAAATGAAAGTTACTCATTCCTGTATAAACCCTGTATGAAATATGGCTGCCCCTTGCTAGATTTTGTTAAACCCTTTGACATTAATGCTTTTTGTTCATTGCAGGTAAACTGATTCTGGTCTAAATGTCACCAAAGAAAAATAAAAAATCAGAAAATAATCTTGAAATGTAAAGCTTCATTCCCTGGAACTTTATGTTCCAACAGCTTCACATATTTGACCAAATTTGTGATTATGATGATGTGATTTTAAATTTGACCCAGAATTGTGAACATGAAATGTCAAAGTCCCATCAAAGGTGTTGGTTGATTTAACCTCCTTTCCTAGTGACAGTAGGTTACATTCATACCATTATAAAGTGATTGAAAGTAATGATATAGTAATAAAAAGTTTTCTTCCTCCAGGGTGCAGAGGATTTGTTGCCCCTCTGCACGCGTCCAGTCGTTTATCCAATCAGCATTCCTAGTTTCAGAGCCGCCGCTAATGTCTCCTCTCTCTGTTTGTCTCTCCAGGTGATCCTGCGTTCATAAGGTTTGCATTCTGACCTGCAAGCCAATGTAAGTCGAGTTGAGTGACTGCGTGTGAAAGGTATTCATGCATATATATTTTTTCAACCCGTCTCCACGCTAGGGAATCGTCTGGTTGGTTGTAAAGAATGTATTTTTGTGCTGTGTCCAGCAGTCAGTGGTAAGTGGCAACATTCCTAGAAGGAATTCATTCCTCTTATTTGGTTGCAGCACAAAAATGCATTCTTGTCCCGGCTTGCATGGAGGGATAACCTCTTCAATCATGAGGGCTTCGGCTGAAGGGTGCTTTCTGTGGTGTCTCTGGGTACTCCTTAATCAACCAGTGGTTTTCAACTCTTCATCCTCCAGTTTCTTCTTCTTTTTCTTCCATTTCCTTCTTAATTGGCTGTCCTGTTACATTAATTAAAAATGTTACATCCATATCATAAATGGACTAATATGGATGAGGGTTGAGATTTGATCAGAATATTTAGTAGGGGTGTAAATCAAACCAATCATGGCGATTCGATTCGGTATCAATTTCTTGACCCAACTATTCGATTATTTGCGATACTCAAGAATCCGCCATGTTTGTCTTGCCTACTGTTTATGCAAGTATGTGTTCAAGCGGAAAGAGAGTAGTGGCTAAAGGAAGCGAGGTAGGAGGGCACAATAGGTTTGGCGCCACCGCAGCACGGGAGTCAGAATTACGTCCAGTAGCAAATGGATTAAAATAGACCGGAGGAAAAAAACCAAAACATGAATCGATACTCCTGCGGATGTGTCGATGCGTCGGCTTTTGGATCGATGCATTGATACTAAAAGATTATTATTTACACCCCTAATATTTAGTATTTTTTCTGATCTTGTAATGTGAAAATGTCACTTCAGACGACCTTCATCAATTAAGCTTTTAACTGTTTTTATAAAAATATATAAAATACATTTACAAAAACACATAGGAACATTTTTCAGTTTATGAGAATAACTTTATTTCAATCGAGTAAAAACTATGAATTTAACTCATGGAAACCACATATAATCAATGGCAAATTTCTAAAGGGACATGAGGGATATTGTTTAACATCTTTACCTCCTGTAGTCCATAACATCAGCAATATTAAACTTATGAGTCCATGTTAATCCAAAAGTTCATTAACTGAGCAAATAAATTAGTTGATTGGGGTTAGCAAAAAGTATATACTGAAACCCTGTATTCTGATTAGGAGTACAACTAGATTATTTAGCAAATTCATTAATCTATTGATTATTTTTTGATTAATAATCAGATAACCAGAGGTTCTTGAAAGATTTTTGTTTTTACTAAATTAAACCAGATAAAACTCAAACTTCTCCACTTGAGAAGTTCTGGATAGAGCGTATTGAGAGACCTAATCTTAAATGCAAAAAATTTCAATATTTTGCTTACACTTTTGATATAATTACTGCTTTAATGGGTCTCTCTGCTAGCTAAAGGCATGTTTTGGAGTCTCAATACTCCAGTTAACAATTAATTCATTACAATAGTTCAAGAGTTGATTAATCCGATCAATTGATTTCAGCCCTAATCCTGATAAAAACTAATTTGGTATCGATACTAAATACAAGTGTTTACATATTTTTTCTATCGTTAGTTTTAGATTTTTGAGATTATTTTCAGATTAAAGAAATAAAAACGCAAACAGCTTAAAAATATTGTAGAATTTGGTACATTTAGGTTATTTAAGATTTATCTGCACACCTATTTAAATAATCTGTGATTCTGTTGAAAAAACACGTTCCATTTGAGATTGAAAAAGATGAGTTTTCCATGTTAAAGTTTTTTTATGCCTTTAATTATTCAGCATTTTTTTTATTCCCATGGTATCAAAAGTCGTATTTCTTTTCCTGTGTATCGATATGGAGTTTAAAATGTTAGTATCGTCATACTACATTCAGACTAAGCGCGTTAGAGGCAGCAGAAGCAGCTAGTTTACATGTAAAGTCAATGGTTGACGCGCATGAAGGCGCAGCAACAAGTCCTGCAGTGCATTTTCAGCAGCAGAAGCAGCCCATCTTGACGCATCAAAGCAAGTGAAGCAGTGCCTCATGACCTTGTAAGCATCTGAGAGACACGCTGCAAATGTAACTCTTGCTGCTGTACGCGCCACATCAACCAATCAGAGAAGCTGATCTGGGAGCTGGCAGGGAGAGACACAGCACTGCTGATGCTGATCACTATGATCACTCCTCTGAAACAGTTTAATGACTAAATTAACTTAAAATGTCATGTTCAATTTTATTATTTTGGTGCCTGTAGTTTGGATTAGGTATGTGAAAAATGCCTTCCAGCTGCCGTGAACAGTAGCGGAAAACCCCAAAGAGGCGACCGGGCCAAAGGCTGCTGTTTCGCAGGGGTTTCCAGTGAAATTGCCGATGTATGGCGGTCTGAACGGCTCCAACAGCAAAGTAATATTTGAAGGCAGGATGTTAATCTTGATGAACTGACTGTATAGTTTTCTTACTTAACATATTAAAACTACTTTTTATCCACTGATCACAGCAATTATAGCACAACTGCTCTCTGCCATTGAAAACAGGAGCATCAGACGCATCTGCACACACTTTACTGGAAGCTCTTCAGGAGCATCAAATCTGCTCTTTAAGCGCCAGACCTTAATGCGGCCAAACGTAAAAAATGAAGCAGCATAAACTTTTTTTTTTTGCGTTCTGAACCTAGCATCACCTTAGAACTGAGTGCGACAGACCACAACTGTAAGCTAGCTAAAGCATTGATAAACTTATTGTTTTGCTTAATGATCTTATAAAAGTTTGAAAAAGGCCAATTAAGGAAGAACCAATAATCCTTGTTCTCCTGCTTTCTGCTTTGTGTCACACTGAAAATCGATGTGTGCAGGACACTCAATTCGGTAACCGGAGCAACCAGAAGCACCTTCTTCACTTCCTGTCTTTGTTTTGCAGGGACCACCACCATCCTCATGTCCTATGGAGGAGGCTTTCACGGACGCACTGAGCGTGTCCGCCAGGCGCCGTATTATGACCAGGTTCCGCACGAGTCCCTGCCCCGCCCAGAGTCCTACGACCTGCGGCCCCTGAGGGAGGGGAGGGCCCCTCACCTGGCAAACAGCTCAGACCCACTCCCTCCTCCCCCTCTGCCTGATCAGCCCCCAGTCGGCCCGGAGTTTGATCCCAGCGGCAGCGAGGGTGACACCGAACCGGAGCCGGACCCGGCCATCGACATCAAGCCAGTCCACCGCTTCATCCCAGATTCCTGGAAAAACTTTTTCAGAGGAAGCAACCGCAGCAGCAAGAAGGCCTGGTCCATGCCTGAGTCCTCATGCAACAACAACAACGGCAGCACCACTGACGGGGTGCGCTGTTCCCCGCCTCACTCCCCCTCCCTCCCTGGATCATACCGGGATCCGTACGGCGGCTCCGGCGGCAGCTACAACTCCCGCAAGGAGCTCCTAGACGGACACGACGTCCTCGGCTCTGTGTCGGGACACACACACCACACGGCTCTGACGTACAGCGAGCGGGTGGAGGAGTACCACCAGCGCTATGGCTACATGAAGTCGTGGGCGGGGCTACTGAGGATCCTGGGCTGCGTGGAGCTGCTGCTGGGAGCAGCTGTGTTCGCCTGCGTCTGCGCTTACATCCACAAAGACAATGAATGGTTTAACATGTTCGGATACTCCTCTCCTGGCGGAGCGTATGGCGCAGGTTATTACGGTGGCGTATCGAGCGGAACGTACTACACCGGACCCAAGACTCCGTTTGTGTTGGTGGTGGCAGGACTGGCCTGGCTGGTGACCGTAATCATGCTGGTACTGGGGATGACCATGTACTACCGAACCATCCTGCTGGACTCCAACTGGTGGCCCCTGACGGAGTTCGTCATAAACCTGGCTCTGGCGGTGCTGTACATGGCGGCAGGTAAGAGATCCCTGAGTGACACGCCTACACTGCTTCTGCTTGATCCAGAGCTCTGAGGAAGACTTCTTACCGTGTTTTCCAGACTATAGATTAGCCGCCTCCAAAAAAAACAACTGGAGACATAAGGCTGGTTTATGCTAACTCTATAGAAATACTACACTCTGGTGCACCTCTCCAAAGCTGTAGGTGACCGCAGACAGGAGGCCTCTGATTGGTCAAATCTTCATCCACTCTACACTATGCGTATTTCCTGTTTGATACCTTACCGGCTTGTTTTGTTTGTGTGACCGCCATTGTGGAAAATGACTTGTGAAGATGAACCAGCTAGAAGAGCGAGGAGCGAGAACGCTGGGATCCTTTTTTCCACCTGGATCCCCGCTCTTTTTCGCTATCATGTCCTTCTGTTGTCGGACAAACTTGCCCCACTTCCTCACCGCCTCGGCTGTATCTAGACCCACAGCTAGTTCCTGAATGTCCCTCTTGCGTTGTGGCGTGGAATAACATAGCACAGACCACGCTTCAATATTGGGCATAAATCAAAAATATCTGCGAGGTTCATAGAAGAATGCTAGCTCCCGTTAGCTTTTTGGCTCGCAGCAGTTAGAGCTTCTAATGAAAGATGGGGCTTTGTCAGCTCTTTATTTCAGCTCTGCAGGAGTTGAGCCCAGTCTCTTCATTGGTTCGACTCTGAGATTTATTTCCAGTTGTGCCTGCTGCTAGCATGTTCTTATGCTAAATGAAAACAAGCCGTTAATTTGATTTCCACACATATAAGCTGCACCTTTGCATAAAGCCTCTTAGTTCAGAGTGTAGGAAAAAAGTAGCTGCTTATAGTCCAGAAAATACGGTCATTAGAAGCAAATAAACCATCAAAGCAAAACTTTTCCAGCTTTTATTACAGTCGGCATTTCTAGCAGATTTTCTTTAGATTTTTTTAACGAGCAGTAGGTCACTTTCGAGTTGTGCTCCCCCTACAGGACCCTTTGAAAATAGCCCTGTTGTAAAAACTGGCATCAGGTGATTCAGGCTATTTATAGATTTACAATCAATCTGTAAAAATTGGATAATTTTCCATCAGTCTGGAAGTAAAATGTCTGCTAAGCTGTCTCATTGCAGGAATTGTTCTGTAGGGCTGGGCGTGGATGAACATGTTTACATTTACTGGACCTTTTTCCCTGTGTTTCCTTTACCAGGCATCGTTTATGTCAGAGACACCAACCGAGGAGGACTGTGCTCCTACCCGGTCTTCAACAACGGTATCAACGGGGTCTTCTGCAGAATTGAGGCTGGTCAGACCGCAGCCATCATCTTCCTCTTTGTCACTATGGTTGTGTATCTGATCGGGGCCATTGTTTGTCTGAAGCTGTGGAGGCACGAGGCCGCCCGCAGGTACCGGGAGAGGTACGGCCAGGAGGTGAGAGCTCAGCTACGTCTGGCTGTTTTGTTCTGTCACAGCTAGGCTCGGCTTTGGGATTCCTGGAATTCACCCAGAGGTTCCTGTAAGAAGCAGAAAATCATTTTGACAAGCTCTCCTCCTTTGTTGCAAACATGTTTCCCATAAAGCTGATATTGGGAAATAACTTACCACTGAATTTGCAAACAGACCAGTGAGTAGGTGTGGTCGTTGTATGAGATAAGAAAACCGAAACAGTTTCTAAAAACGGCCTCCTGTGATAGGAGGAAAAACAACAACTTTGACTTAAACAACTATTCCTGGAAAATCTAAATCAAACTTAATAAGCTTTTAATTTCCCTCAGCCTCATAAGGGCTAACAACCTGTTAGAAATGGGTCTTTATATATATATTTATATATCGATTAAATATGTTTTCCTTGGCCCGTGTACACTTGTATAAAACAGATTTTCCTTGAAATGTAAAAATTTTACCTAATAAGCTTTATCTGTTGTGTTGGGAACATTAATCACTACAAAAAGGGTTTTTTTGTGTAACAGGAGAGGAAGTCTGGGAGTAAATCGCTGCACAGATGAAGGTTTTATTTTGATTTTATGGCAGAAGCTCAATCTTTTTCCACTTTTCCACAAAGTTAAAATTCCAGACATCTATTTAGCCCCATAAGCAGGACGCTTCCAAAATCAGACTATAAATTGATCACTGCATGACGACTTTAAATCAGTGTGTGATTAATGTTTTTCTGCTTGGAATAAAATGGGAAAGTAAATGTTTTTATAACAGAAGCCAAAATATAAATTCTAACAACAATAAGATTTGAAACTGGATTAGAAAAGCAAACCTTTCATTTTCTGTGCTGAAATAAGCGGAAAAAAACCCAACTTCTACTTGCTTTAAGCTTGGCATACACTGTAAGATTTTTTGCCCTTTTCTGGTCCATTCTCAAATCGTGCAGATTTTTCAATAGGGCCGAGTTTCAGCCTCATCGTGCGTCCTGTGTCGTGTAGTATCCAGGGGATACGAGGGTGATTAGCTTCTCATGACCACCTACAGATCAGGAATCGTCAGGGGAAAATCAAACATGTTCCTGCTGTTGAAGCAGAGCTACGAGGCAATTTACCAGAACCTCGAGCATGGCGCATGTGCAAACAAAGGAGTTCTTCTTCTGGATTAACAAGTCTGACCAGCGCCATCTCTCGGCCCTAAGTCCGATGTGGTTTTTAGAGGTACAGTGTGAGCAGGTAGATCGCATCAGAGCGTCGGGCCACACAAACATACATTGTGAGCTGTGAACATTTAAACCCTGTAGTTTAGTAGTACAGTTTAAGCTGCAGCGGAGTACGATTGACAATATCACACAGTATATGCCCGGCTTTATTTACTACTTTGGTCAAATAATAAGAAAGTGAGATGGGATCCGAAAGCGGTCATGAACTGAGCTGAATGCAACCTTTTAGCAGAGTATCCACCCTTAACTGGTCACTAAAATGGATTTAGATCAAAGGATATTTTATGTGTTATAGTGGCCTAGTCAAAGTCCAGATAAAATGTAGAATCTGTAGGAAGATGAGAATAATTCAGCCTGAGCCCATTTTTACAAGGAAAGGTACTAAATGGTAAAGACTGAGAAGAGGGGTGAAGGGATACCTGCGACATTTTATGGAGTTTTCTTTGTTTTAAAAGGCCTTTTTTTTCTTTCGGGTTTAAAAATGTCTGAAAAAATTTAAAGCATTTAAAGCACTTCTGTATACAATCAATTCATTAGTAAAGTTTACAGACTGATGCAGATATTTCCATCAGCTCTGTTCCGATACTCTAAGTCTCCTTCAACCAAGATTTACTTCTCTCCCGTCTCTGTGTTCTGATGCAGCCTTCTGATCTGCGTGCCGTGCAGTCCCTTGTAAGTACCACGTTATTAACTGTACTTTACAACTGTTTAAAATCATTTAGTTCTTATAAAAGCAGCTTTTATGATGTTTTTGCCATTATCTATTCAGGTGGTTCCTGATTCTGCTCCGGCTCCCAGAATTCCAGAGCAGGTCCAAGGCTCCTCGGTCGTTCCCATCCAAGCTGCACCGAAGAAACTTCCTCCGAAGGTTGTGCAGGGAGCCATACCGTCAGGATATATCCCAAAACCTGTCGTCGTCCCGGATTACATTGCGTAAGTACTGCCAAAAATTCATAAGAACCATGAAACAGAAATGGATTACAGACACAGAAATTAAGCACGTATATTTTAACAGATCACTTAATCTGACCAGAGATTATCAGCATATTTAAAAATGAAAAGCCTCGTTATCTTCTGCATTATGGTACATTTGTTAAAGTGTTTAGTTGGGAATTTAGGAGCACAGTGTGGTTCGGTTATAAGCCAAAACAAAACAGCAGATGTGTTGGAGGCAGGAAACAACAGTGTAGCATTAGATTTTACAGAAACTGGGTCAGAATACCTTTAAGAATTAACCTTCTCAATGCAAAAACAGCTTCAGGGGATGAGGTGTTTCATCACTATAATCTCAATCCAATCAAACATCTATAGTAATTACATGTTGCTAAACTCCATCCCCTTAAACAGTAAAAAAAAAACTATTTTAAACCTAAATATCGTTCAACCGCAGCAGGATGGGGTTAACCAATTTCAAAAGCATATTGCAGAAATCTACAAATTTGTAATAGAAGAGGAGATAAACTGTAAATAACTAATTTATATTAACAACACAGATTGTGTCTTATTAAACAAATCAACTCACTAAATTTAGCAAAAATATTTTAATGCATATTTAAGGAGGTTTTCGGTTATATTTTTTTAAAGGTGTTTATAAGAGGAGATAAAAACATCTTTCTAACAAGTTCTGACGTAGCGAATGTTTACCTCACATGTATGAAGTGAAGTTTGTACTATTATTGATGCATTTAAAGAATAAGTTTTGTAATTGAACTAAGAAAAAAAGAATTTAAACTTTTAAAAACTTACTAACTTAACCCAAAAAATATTTGAAAACAAAAATTTCAATGTGAGAAAATGGCAAAGTTACTTTCAAAAGCTTTCTTTAAGAAGTTTTTCAATTCTTTATTTCTTTTTTTCTTACATTTTTTAAAATCTTAATTTCCAAAACATGTTCTTTCTTGCAACAATAATGGAACAAAAGTAACTCCATACATTACCCTGCAAATGAAACCACTGCTGCCTGGTTCTTGCTAACAAACTTTCTGTTATTGTTTCAGGATGATGCTAATCAGAATATAGCTACATGTAGCACGTTTCTGGGATAAGAAGTCATGATTATGGAAACGGCTCGTTCCTTTGTTCATCCTGTGTGGTTCTTTACAGGAAATATCCGGTGATCCGGTCTGATGAAGAGCGGGACCAGTACCGAGCTGTGTTCAACGACCAGTACGCAGAGTACAAGGAGCTCCATGCAGATGTTCAGGCCACACTGAAGAAGTTTGATGAGATGGACGCCATGATGCACAGTCTGCCTCAGCAGCCCACAACCCAGATGGTGATTGGTCGCCAATTCCTTAATCTTCTCTACATGAAAACATTTCTTTGGATATAAACTTTCTTTCTTTTTTCCCCGTGATTAAAACCGGAGCTTTTCCAAAACATTACAAACTACGTAACCCTTAAAAGTTACATTTATTTGTTTTTGTTTTAATGTGTGTGAAGGAGGTTGTTTAAAACACTAGCTCCATGTTGACCTTCTCACAGTTCACATTGTTCATGGGGGTAGTTCCTCTTTCTAGACCTAAACTTCATATTCAAAGTTTACTGATGGAGGTTTATGACATTCACTCTGTAAATTGGTGGTAGAGTTACTGCAACAATTCGTTTTCCTCTTTGAGCGTCAGGGCTCTCCGTGCAGCTGATTTAAGCAGAGCAACTGGTTACACTGAAAGTTGTTTATTTTTCTTTTTTCAAAAATCTTTTTTGCAGATTTGATCCTATTTAAATATTTCAAAAACTGTTTTAAAGAATTTACATTTTGATTTTCAGAGTGTTTTACAAATGGCTTTCGTTTAAAATGTAAAATCTAAAGATTTTTCTTTTAATATATGTATATATATACATAAATCATACATTGGAGTATGAAGTATTGATATATTTAACAAATTACCTGTATAAAAAAATACTCTTACCAATATAACAATGAAAATAAGTCAGGAAAATCAACTAAGTAACAGTTACACTGCACTGATCATCATTTACACTTTAGGATGTCACTACCTATCTATCTTGGGGAAGAAAAAAAAAAGGATTGTTGGCTTTTTTGGGGGGGGAGTGTTGGCCTAGTGGTTAGAGTAGTGTGCTTGTGTTGTGAGAAGGTTACAAACACCCGGTTCGATTCCGATTCGGTTCCTGAGCAAGACCCTTAACCCCAAACTGCGTCCCAGCCGCCCCACAATGGCAGCCCACTGCTCCCCAAAGGGATGTGTTCATTTTATTGCTCTGTACTTAAATTAAATCACAATAAATGTTGGGAAGAGAAAAAAATGAAGGCATGGGCGGCTTACTAAAAAAAAAGCGGGTGTTGGGGTCAGTCCTGGACTGAGATGGATGGTCCAAAACCTGCTGCCAGATACTACAGAACTTACTGGAATCCTTAACATCGTACCACACTTTCTCCAAATGATGAATCTCAGTAAAATCACTTACCCACATTTTAAACTGTGGAACCTTGTCAGTGTTCAATAATCTTAATATTACTTTCTTAGCTACCGGTAAGTAGTTTTTGATAGAATAAAATTTGACACAAATTATTTGTATTTTTAAAAAAACAAATCTGATAAAACAGGTTCTCTTAGAACCACTTTTTGATTAAAATTTTTTTCCTAAGTTTCATTTCTGGAGTGGATATTTCTTTTGTTCAAATTTTCATTTACCAAATGTGTTTATTTAAACAATAAAGGAACAAATTCCCTCCATTCTAGTGTTTTAAATGGGAGGAACTGGGATGATAGATTCCCCTCCATCTAAACCAGTCGGTAAAGCTGGGGGACCAGCTGTTCTGACTGGACTGTGTTCTTACAGTAAAGATGAGGAGAAGAAATTAAAATCAACCAAACTTTATTTATAAAGTGCTTTTCATAGAATTAATGTAGTTCAAATTGCTTTCCACAATTTTCAAACATCTCCCCTTAGGCATCCAGCATAGATTATACATAGTTCCATTCAGACCCAGCGAAGGATCTCTGCCTGTTCAGAAAAATTCCTCTCATTGTCTTCGTTGTCAAAACGTCGCTGACTTCTCCATCCCGTCACTTCCTCTGTTTTTACTTCCTCTTCCTGTTTCTCTCCACCCTCAAATTCCTCATGGGCTCCATCCAGGCAGCCATCTGTTTTCTCTCTCTCCTAATTTTCCTACAGAGTTTCACTCTATGACTTCACCTGAGTGAAATACTATCTGTGTTTGTAGGAGGTGGATCGCATCAACAGGATCCTGCAGGACTACCAGAAGAAGAAAAACGTGAGCTCGCTCTTTTTTTTTTTTTTTTTAACATGTTTACTGTTTATACTGTCTGTTTGATCAAACTCTACACTGCAAAAATAAAAAAAAATGTAATCAGGTCACTTCTTAAAATAAATATATTTAATCTTAAATTGAGCAGGTAAGTTAGACAATATGGCAGTGGAAGAGAAATATTTATTTAAAATAAGAAGAAAACTTAATATCTTGTTTCAAGTGCATCATGCATCATATAAATACCTTTCTTTTAAAGGTACAGTGGAGGATTTTAACACATTTTTTAAAAGACCTCTCTACTATAAAAAAAAAAAAAAGAAATGGTTAGGAAGATGCTTCCAACAAACCGGCCACAACCAGACTTGCTTGCAAACCTTCCGCCCCAACAATCCCGCCCCCTTAATAAACGACCAATCACATTCATTTTATTCACTCGAGCAAAGTCGGGCACCACTCAGGAGAATTCAGAAATGCAACACTTCCCCACGACTTTAACGTGTGCGAGAGCGTGCATGAGCCCCTTTCTCCTCGTGCACCTTCTGTTTAAAAGTTGCTGTTTGTATCGCTCATACAATCTTACTTTCCAAAAGAAGAGTTGCAATGTTTACAATATGTCAGACTCACCACCGTTTAAGGGCTGGTTATCCTCCCACAGATATTTTGGATTCATGCCCAGTATTAAAGCGTGGTCCGCGCTATGCTATACAACTCTGCAATGCAAGAGGGACAATCAGGAACTAGCTTTGGTTCTAGATGCGGCCGAGGCGGAGAGGAAGTAGGGGGCAAGTTTGTCCGAAAATGGAGGGACATGAGGGCCAAAAAGAGCGGGGATCCAGG